AAACCCATAAATTGAATGAAGATAAGTTAATTTGAGATGAAAGGGGTGTTGATGATTTCACGACGAATTTCATTTGTGGGTATGTTAATTTAATTTCGCGACGAATCTGGCTTCCATTCTGACAAAAGCCATTGAAGAAATTTCAAACCCATAAATCAAATCATTTGTGGGTCTGCTCAGTTAGTTTCGCGACGAATTTCTTCAATGGCTTTTGAGAGGAAAGTTGAAAGGGGTGTTGAAGATTCTTGGGAATGAAGTCGAATTCCTTTGATTAAATCATCTAATGAGCGTTGAAAGAATGAGTCTATTATTGATGAATTCGCCATTGATGAATTGGTTTGAGCTTTTTTTTTTATTGATGATTTTGATTTGATGGGGTATTTTAGAATTATGTGGGTTGAAGGTTTTGTGAGAAGATTATAAGGTTTTTTTGGGTGGAAAAATGGAAGAAAAGGGGATTTGTAAGTGGTTTTGATAGTTCGAATTGAGGAAGAAGACGATGATTGTGAATTGTGGTGATATGAATTCAATCAGTGCAAAAAGCCAGAAAGGCAAAGTCTTGAACTTCACGAAACATTAGTACCCTCCTTTATTTTGTCAAAAAATTATTTTTCCTTTTTTAAAAAAAACAAGTTTACCTGATGTAGCAAGTTAAGTACTCTAAATGAAACCTTCGAAACATGAGTACCTTCAGTGAAACTTTTGGTAAACATTAGTACCTTCAAGTTGTATTAACTCCAATAAATGCATCCTAACATGACACTAGGAGTCAATAAAAGCAATCTAAGCATGATTTCTATCAAAAAATTAATTAAGAAATAATTTAATTACTTACTGTAGACACCCATTTGTGTCTCCCCAAAACCAAACTCAGTGATGAGTACCTTTCGCGTCGAATCATAATCGAATGAAACGAAAGTGTGGAAAGGTCTAGTGTTGCGGAAAGTTTTTATTTCTTTTCTCTTCTCTCTGTTTTTGAAAACTTATTTTAAGAAAACAGCCAATCCAGTTTGGTTGGTCCATGATATGGGTCCAATAGTAGTGTATTTGGATGGGGCTTGCAAAGACCTTTCTAACGATATATTATAAGCCCAATTCCGATGAATATTGAGGAAGTTATGGCCAATTTACTCAACTGGGCCCGGTTTGAGCTTTATGTACGGCCCAATGATCTTGGGGAGGGCCTAATATGATTTATCATTCCTAATGCAATTAGGAATGGTTTTAGTCTTCTAGATTCTTCTAGAAGGTTCTTTTCATTCCTAATTCAATTATTATTGATAAATTGACTTTTGTTGACTTTTCAGAGTTTTAATCAAAATCAAATAGCATTTTCGAAGAAATTATATTATTTTATCCTCCAGTACGGTAAACTTATCGGATTTTCGAAAGACGCGTTGGAATCAAGCTTGGCGCCTAACCCAGGCCTGGCGCTAGCCATTGGCGCCTAGCGCTAGTGTTGGTGCCTGGTGCCAGCTAGCCAGGGTTGGCGCCAGCTCTGTTTTCTGAGCGTCAGACTCTGTTTTGTCTAATTTATCTTTTTGACTGATTTTCTCTATAAATATCGTATTTAAAACTCCGTTTTCATTCACCAATTGTTTTTCATTCACCAATTGTTTTTCATTCACCTATTCTCTCTTAATTCATTCATCTCTCTTAAAACATTCAATTCTTTCTAACTTTGCTTTTCTCATACAAAATTCCGCATTCACAAGATCTAGAAACACCTAGCCATATTCGAAGTTGCCTTCGCCCTAGACGTGAAAGGTTTTAATTTCTGAGGGTTTGGTCCCAGATCTCTCTTTCAATTATTTAATTTAATTGTTTGATTATCATTTTCCTTGAAGTTACTAACGTGTGTATTTTGTTATTAGAAAGAGGTACGAGACATCAAAGTAAGTACTTTAATGTTTTTAATTGATGTTATGATGTAGATATCATGTTTATATTGTTATTATGATGTTCCTAGTATCATGTCTAGGGTAATTTTAATATTAAATATGATTGTTACGATACTTCCTATGTTCTTCCTAATATTTATTCATGTTAGTATCATGTTAGGGTTAAAGATTTTATTTTTATTGCTTAGTGACATGCTAGGGTTTGTTATTAATCTTGTTAGTATCATGCCTAGGATCTTGCTATTTTTATTATGCTTTAATGTTAACATGAACATGATTATGATTATAATTGTTATAATTTATGATGATCATGAATATTATTATTACTATTATTATTATTATTATTATTATTATTATTATTATTATTATTATTACTATTATTATTATTATTATTATTATTATTATTATTATTATTATTATTTTGATGATGATTATTTTATTATGATTATGATTATTATAATTATTATTCATGATATTGATTATTATTATGTTGCTTGATATTTATTATATTGCTTGATCACGCCTTTTATGCATGTTTAAAGGGAATTGATACTTGTAATCACGCTTAATAAGATAATTAATAATCTTGTTAGGGTTAATATGATTATAATTTCAAGTGATCGCCAATAATAGATTTATTTGTGCATTAAATTCAACCATCATAGATAAACAGGTTTAGGGTTAATCCTATTGATTGCATGTTAGTCAGAAAGCGCACATGAATACGATCAGAATAAATTAGAGGCCTATTATTAGGGCAGGTTCAATCTCTTTTAGGTTGGATTTGTACCTTCATCCCCGAACCCTTATTTGGTTCTAGACCTTATGGAGTTGACGATCTCTTGGATCGTTAAGGGGTGTAACCTTCACCTCGTGAACGGTTTACAAGTTCCTAAAAAACTTGTTGGCGACTCTTTTGCTCTATCTTCTTCCCTTTTGGACGCAACCGTACTTTAGTGTATGATCACAGTGGGGTTCAAGCTAGTGGGATTTTAAAGGCTTGAAATTATTCCCTACACTTACTTTGATGCCTCATACTTATTTCTATCAAAACAAGACACACGTTAATTAGTAACTTCAATGAAAATATTAAACAATTAAATAATATTAATTGAAATATGGATTTGGGACCAAACCCTTAGAACTATCAACCTTTCACGTCTAGGTCTTAGGCAACTTCGAGCTTGGTTAGGGGCGTCTAAGAATCGTGAATGAGGAATGATGTATTTTGTAAAAAGGTGCGGAAAGGCTTAGAAAATCAAGAAAGAGAAAAAGAATGTGGGTGATTGTTGATTATTAAAAACGGGGAAAATCGTCCCAATTATAGAGAAAAACAACCGAAAACGATCAGAAAAGAGTCAGAATTTGACTTGGAGTAAAACTAGCTCTATCGCAACGGACAGGGTCATTGCGATGCGATAGTGTCATCGCACGGCGATAAGCCTATCACAGCGCGGTGGACCTTATTGCGGCACAATAAATGTTATACGATAAAATTCATACGGAATTAATTGGGTTAGCCAGAGTCCGTACTTATCTTTTATTAAATCAGATTTAATCCTTTTAAAACATTTGTTTTATCCGATGTAAAATTCTTTATCTTTTCAAAGTAAATAATAATTATAATTATTAATCCTAGTCCCTTTAGAACTCAAAATAACCTTCTAGATAATTAAGATAAATCCTAATGACTTTAGGAATAATTAATGGACCTTTCACATGATCATTGGGCTGCCCATAAAACTCAATTTAAGCCCAATTTAATATTTTGGTCATAAATTCCTCGCTAAAACTCAAAATTGGGCTTATTAGGAATAATTAATGGACCTTTCACATGATCATTGGGCTGCCCATAAAACTCAATTTAGGCCCAATTTAGTATTTTGGTCATAAATTCCTCGTTAAAACTCGAAATTGAGCTTATAATACATTGGAAAGCTCTTTTCAATCCCCATCCAACTACACAATTATTGGACCCATATCATGGACAAGAATTATGTCAATATTCCTTTTAGTATAGGTATATTGGTTGATATTGATTATTCCTCCTAAAACATACTCGTACACGAAATAGGGGTGAAAGTTCGGTTTGCGATTTGGATTTTACACCAAACCGAATTAATTCAGTTTTGGATTTTTTAAACTGAATCCAAACCGAATTTGGATTCAGTCCAATCCAATCCAAACCGTATTAATTCGATTTTGGAAATTGAGTCCAAACCGAAAGCAAATTCAAAATGTAATCAGTTTAATTGAAGCAAAACAAGGAACAATCACCAAATGATAAAGAAAATGAACATAATTTGGAAAATTTAATCCAAATTCAAGCAAAATCAAAATATCATAAGCAAATTCATCCCCAACAAATTTTCTATATAATCTAACACCACCACCCCAAATTTTAAATTAAAAACAAACTAAATCGAAGTCGAAAGCGATTGCGATGGATCATTGGAGAAGACAAAGAGTGATAGCGGTGGAGAACACTACCTAGCGTTGCTTAATAGTGACTGGTTGGTGGTCGGAAAAGTCTAAGAATGAACGCCGGTGGACAGAAGGGGGGTAAGAAAAGGGAAAACTGAAAAGGGGGAGAAGAAATTATTAGGGGCTTAAAGTTGTCGCAGCCCGCAAGTGAGTGTGAAAGAGTGATAAAGGGAAAAGGGATTAGGGTTTCTATTTAAGATGCTTATATATGAAAGGGAAATGGGCTTGGTAATTGAGCTTGTTAGAATTTTGTTTCAAATTTCGATTTTTGGTTTTATTGAAGCGTAAAATCAAAACCGATCCGCGATTCATATTTTTAAAAATCTCAAACCAATCCAAATCGCATTGTATTATTTCAGTTCAGTTTAGTTGGGTTGCGGATTCTATCCGTATTACTTTCACCCCTAAGAGCAAGTTTAGCCTTAAGACTTAGATTGACATCATCAATTTGAATCTTAAGACATATGCTTAAGACTTTCCCATTTTTCTTCAAAAATCTCAAGCAAGTCTCAAGTTGAGTCTTAAAATTCCAAGACTCAACTTAAAACTTGAGATTGAGACCCACTTCACCCATCTCACTTTTATTTTTATTATCTTTTTACACTTTTCTACATATAATATGCCAAATATTTAAGTCTTAGGGGTAAAGTGATAAATTTGAAATTTTTTTATTGATTCTTAATAAGAATTTAATGACATTATTTTTAATGGGGCCACAAAAAATAATGTCACATCCAAGTCTCCGGCTCTAACACGGAGTACTTGAAATTGCAATTTCCCTCGCAGTAATCGACAAAATTCAACTTTTCTCGCGGCTTTTCAATTTGGTACTTGCTCATTGAAACTTACAAATACTAGAATCAAATTCTGATAAACAATCCTTTGGTAAGTGCTCAAATGGAGGTGCCCTTTAGTCCAATTTTTCACAAAGTTGCCGGTGAAGTTGTCGGTAAACCTAAACGCACCTTCACTCGTCCTACTGAGGTTAAACCCCTTTTTAATCCCCTTTATTTGAGCTATAATTTTCTGAAATTTGAATGTTTCTTGTATTGCTATTATCATTTATGTTTTTTTTTTTTTTTTTTTTGGATTTGCAGATTTGTCTTGAGGAATGGTGGCTTTCGAAACTTGATGATGGTAAGGGTTTAGCTGTCAGCGGTCGTCCTCTTGAAACTAGAAAGTAAGTTTTTTTTTTTTTTTTTTTTTTCGGCTTTTATTATACAATTGGGTGTTAGTTTGCATCCTCGAACATAATTTTTTTTTTTTTTTTTAAATAAAAATATTTACACTTGGGTGTATAATAGACAACTTGAAGCCTGTGTTTAGAGGGAATATTAGTCTAGATTAGTTATATGTGACTTGATATCATTGTGAAATAGTTTAAACCCCGAAGTATATTTATGTTATTTGATTACTAGATGCCGAGCTCATTATATCTTTGGCATCTTTTTGAAACTGCTATTGTTAATGTTGGAATTGTTAGAATGTTATTTTCTATAATGGAAGGATATTATAGTGGGAATAATCAACGATTTGATGCCAAGAAGTATACACATTGAAACTTTGCGGTAGCGATTCTATTAGTGATTGATTGATTGAGTGACTATACAGAATAATCACTTTTGGTCCATGTAGCCTACTTATGGGATTAAGGCTTTGATTGATTGAAGGATATTATAGTGGAATTTTCGTCAGTTGTTCTTAATGGAAGCTTAGTTTGTGGTTTAATTTGCAATATGACGTAATTGATATTCACTGATTATATTTACATTAGCTAGTGGGAAGGGAGTAGTGTGATAGTGCTTATTGGTAAGATTAGAAGGGCAGATGATGGGGTAGAGCTAGTGCAAATGTGCAATCTTGTCTTTATCGTGGTGGTTGTGTTGAAACTGTAAAACAGGATGTATTCAGTTATTTGGCTTAGGAAGATTCACATTGTTTTGCATTACAAGTGAATCGAAGAATGCACCAATTTTGTTTTGTTATTCAATCTCGTCTTTAATCATGCAAATTGACTCTAAGAAAGGGATTTAAGTGTACAATTGGAGACGTTGTGCTGTTGGATGAAGGGAGCAGTAATAGCATACCACCATTTTAACATTGCTGCAATTTGTTTGCTTGTAGATGTGATACTCCACAACGGAAGTTTCACTCTGCTCCTGCTAAAAGGAGAGCGTCGAGAGAATTTCACTCTTCCAAAATTGTAAAGAGGCATGGTTGTACTACACTTGAAACTTCTGATGGTTTTATTGTTTCTCTGTGTGGCTTTATAAACAAGTCTCGCACACAACAAAATGGCTTTTCCTCTGAGGTAAGTACATATGCTGGCTGCATATCATATAAAGTTTGTAAGCATTCTCATTAAGACTTTAGCTTGTTCTATGATCCACCTGTGATAGCTTTACTGGTTGGTGGCTAATAGACACTATTAAATCCTAAAACATTTCAGCATTGTATTGATCAGGTTTCGCTTTACAATATTTTCAGTTCCCTGGGCACCCAAGGACAAGGTTTTATGTTAATTTTTGGTTTGTGTGTGTGTGTGTGTGTGTTTGTAAATTGTGCTAAAAGAAGCTAGATACGAAATATACTCCTTATTTCTCTCTTTTGTCATCTGGTATAGGATCCCAGTTGTTTACAGTTTAAGATTGTCCTTTAGAGTTAATTGGCCTGCTTTCTAGTCTATGTGTGTGACTTTTTAAAATGTCATTTACTACTGTGACTGCTGACATCCTGAGATGTTAGCTTCAGATGTCAGTGGCACCCAATGGTGTAATTGATAGCAGCTTTTCAATATTTCTTGGACAAATGGAGATCATTTGTATACACCAATTTTATGCTATTAAATGATGTTTGAATCAATATTTTTCTTTTCTTTACCTAGACATGGAGAGGACTGGATTAAATCAATTTCACATACTATATTCCTTAGTTGAATTTCTGCAGTAACGACCTTCTTTCTAATAGAAATTCTCGTCTTTTCACACCTTCTTGCCCAGTAGGATCTTACAGTTTTCCCCTCAGTTTATAATATGGCCATGAATGTGCTTGTCTATCACCTGGCATCTTGAGACTGACTTGTGAATACTGGTGCTCATAAGTCTGCTGATTACTTGATAGTGTAATACTCAACATGTTACATCTTACGTAACAACTCATGACATACCACCAAATGCTAGAAAGGGTGAACTCATCCCCTTACATTGAAGCTCCAGCATGTGAAAGGTGCTATGAGGATTCATTTGGTGTAAGAATAGGACTGGCAAATCCGAGGCTTAGTGAAAGTGAAATATGATAATCAATTAGAAATGAGATGCTAGAGAAGTAGGGATCTATAGTTGATTGAATTCCAAGGGGCTCTTCTTTTTATCTTTTTGAAAGTCAGGTTTTCAGGTATTTCTCTTCTATTGTGTCTTACTCTATTAAATTGTAGTTCAATACTTGTACTCTTAAGTTCCCCACCCTTATCCTCCAGCAGTTACTCTTCCTCTCAACTATTTAAAATATTTGACTACCTTTTCTTTTGTTGCATATTAACCTTCACCATTTATGTAATGTGTGTACTATAGTACGTCTCTAGTAGTCTAATCTATGTTAGTCAAACATTTCACATTTCATTTCATTTCAAGTACTCATGTCGGATCCTTGACACTCTAACATGGGCATGGAAACAAACCAATATCAAGGTAATGTTTGAAAACACCGAGTCCAAGTAAGTGATAGGCTGATAGCTATTATTTGGATTATGCCGACATCATTGTTTTTATTAATAAGAGTATTGATTGTGTTGATGCTATAGCACTGTGATCATTGCAACTTAGTAAGCAAACATAAAAAGGGGAACTTCATAGCTTTTCCTTTTTCTTTTTCTTTTTCTTTTTTCTTTTCTTTTTTTTTTTCCGCGTTTGATGTACTAGTACTATGTAAGATTGTTAGGGAAGCACAATTAATGCAGTTATTTTCTTCTTTCCACTATCAAAATGGTGAGCTTTATCAGGTTTTCTTGGGAATTCGTTCATCCATTAGGAGCATTTGAGCATGTGATGACAATTGAAGCCTCCCTGTGTGGCTTGGTCTTTCTACTTGGGTCCCACAATTGGTCTCACTAAGAACCGTGTATATGTTCATTCCCAAACTTGTTCTGTATGATTTATTATATTCAAGGTTCAACCTGTACACTTTAGACTTCTGGTACCCCTCCGAGAGTTGAGTGAAGTGTTGTCTTGATTCAACCTATTATTTGGAATGTGAATGTGACCTTGAATTATCCAGGTGAGCCCATTACTTGCTGTTAGGGAATTAAAGTATATAATAGCCCTTGATCTGAATTATGAAGTCAATGCCATCAGCAAATGCTGTACTTCCTGTTTCTCAACCTTTTGCTAACTCAGCCTCTAAATGCATAATTTCATATTACTCCTTGCTGAAACATCACAGTAGTACTTACGCCCTAACTCTAAAGATACATCTGAAGGGCCCTCCCTGTTTTCCTCATAAATACTACTGAAATCATAAGCAGATAGTCTCTCTTAACCTCTATAATGGTCTGCAACTAATGCGAGTAATTAATAACCTAGATAACTTGTATAGCTTTATTAGTTATTGCCCTAGGCATTGTCAATTTGTCATAATGTGAACTGTGAAGTATCTGTGATGCCTTCTGAATTTTGTAGATTTTATAGACTAACTTGGCTTCTGAGCAGGTTTGCAGGGATTTCAATTTTGGATTTCCTTATAATTGGGAGGATTATGCCGCATCTGTGGATAAAGATTTAAGTCAAATTAACCCTAAAAATGTTACCGAGTGCGTCCTGCCTGCTGCTTTAGAATCTTACAATGGTGCACAGCTGCATGACATGGTGTTGTCTCTTTCTGATGCTGAAAGAGGTAAATTCAATAAGAAAGTGTATGACAACCTAATTGGATTGTTGGCTCCACATTCAATGGATGTAATAGAAGTTAAACCCTCAAAATCTACTACTCAAGCTGGTGCAGATGTATTAAACTCTGAATCTCAGAGGACAGAGGCTAGCAACAAGCGGGTAACCAGATCGCAGACTTCCTCGAAGCAGGAGTCCCATATAAAGGTCAGTATGGCTTGTTTTAAGTAATCTATTACTCAAGCTGATGCAGATGTATTAAACTTGAATCTCAGAGGAAAGAGGCTAGCAGCAAGCGGGTAACCAGATCGCAGACTTCCTCGAAGCAGGAGTCCCATATAAAAAGGTCAGTATGGTTTGTTTTAAGTAATTTACCAAGTAGTTAAGATGAAGACTGATTAACTTATGTTAGTTTCAAATTTTCATGCAGAAGTCCAGAGTGAAGAAAATGTGAATGTTCTAATAATGTTGTCGCCTAAGCAGGGAGCAATGATGTAAACTCGAGGAAACCTTGCTAGCTTAGAACGCATTACTGTATATGAAACTCTTACACTGGTAGAAGTAGAACCAAGAACCTAAATACCCAATGCTAGGCTGCTAGCACTTGCAAAACTTATATTGACTTAACATCTTAAGTTCTAAAGCTAACCTTACTCAAATATGCTTGCTTAACGAAGGTTACATGAAAAAAAAACATGAAAGTTACATTTGTCTGTTGCATATGTTTTTAGCAAGTCTTGTTGATTTAAGGTGAATAAAAATGAAAAAAGTGGGGTTTAGGAAATGTTTGGTTTGGCTATTAAAAAATATCCAATTCAGAAGTCCGGTGATTTGATCCAAAATTCCGGTTATCCTATCTACTTTCTTATTGCGTATATTTCATATTGGAGATATTTGAAAATTTTTGGGTTGTCGGATTAGACACGAATTGTAATTTTTTCGAAGAATTCTATGATCAGACCCGAAAACCTGGTGATTTGATTTGAAAACTTGATGATTTTATTCGAAACTGAACAACCTTTGATTTGGCAAAGTAGCATTTTAAATGGCGATTAATGTTTGGAGTAGATAGTTATGAATCGTTTTGCAAAGTACACAATTCAGGTAAAATGATAAATTTTAGATAATTATTTTAAAATAAATTTAATAAAGCTTAGATAATTACTTTAAAATCATTATCAATGGAAAGTTGACAATTTCTTTTACATTTGAAAAATAAAGTGAATGAGGATGCCGACGCGAAGTTGGCCCCATTACACACAGTTCGTTAATATAAGAGTGCGCAAAAGGATTGTTGTTGTTATACGTAGTTGATGACACCAAATTCCATGCAATTTTAGCTCAAATTATGTATTTTTTGATTAATTAATACCACTCCATTTTTCAAAGTTGAAAGTATCAAAATCAAGCATATTATAATACCATTATTTATACTAATAATACTACATTTAGTATAATACATGATGAGTGATAATGTGGCATGATTTAACCTTCCCAGCAAATACATTGGCATGGGATTCACCGGATGATGTCTTTGCTCAACACAATGTCTCTTAGATTATGACTCTTTTCATTATTTTAATTAAAAAATAAAAAATAAAAAAACTTACATCTACTTAATTACATATTATTAATCATTGGACCGCCCATTCAGTTGATTCGTCATTATAATATGGGTGTACAATGGATTAATGAAGTATCACACTCAAATTTTTTTATTTTTTTTATTTTTTTTATTTTTAATAATCCATATTAATAATAATAACAAAACAATGTCAAATTTCTTAAAACATGCTTTCTATTTCTAGTCCTTCACATGGCTATATGGAATGATATACCTCAAGTCCTCAACCACTTGCCATCTCCGATTGTTGTACCTAATAAATAAATTACAATACATAATTGCAAAATAAACACAAAGAAAAAATAACAAACTAAAGTGGGATGAGATTAAACTCTGTCCGTAGGATTATATATATGATTTTGAAAAAAAAGAAAAGAAAAAAAAAAAACCTAACTTATGCTTTATATTTTATGAGTGAAGAAAATTAGGAGATTTTATTCTCCTATTCATTAGAAGGGAAGATATAGCAAAATGTCAAAGGTGGGGTGAGAATCGATCCCATGATCTCCTGGAATCGGGAGGGAAGCTCTAATCACTTGAACTATCCCTTACTCATTCTATCCCAAAATATGATTATAATTAAATAAAATAAAATGAGTAATTGGCAAAGCTAATTTATTTAATTAATCGTGCGTGTTTGATAAAAAAAAATAAAAATAAAACTAAGTAGCACAATCGTTAATAGTTAAGGTCAAGGCCAGATACGTAAAATAAATGTTATTTTTCTTTTTTAATTAATTCAATTTTTTTGTTTGTTCAGTTGTATAAAATGTTCGGTTTTATATCAAAAGATGTTCAATTAACATATGTAATAATAATGTTATACATTAGCATTTTTTTTCATTGAGGTATTAAATCATATAGTTAAGCGAATTGCAAGATATCCATTGGTGAGAATTAAACCAATCAAGGTCATTTACTTGAAACTTACAAAATTTGTTGACAAATAAGCAATAACATTATATGTTCATTTTTACTCCGTATATTACATTTGAAATGATTTGTTATATAATATTAGATTTACAATCCTTTTTTTTTCTTCAGTTTCATAGTTTTACTTTTATATTATAAATGTTCATTTTCATACATTATAATATTTAGACTAAATGTTTAGTTTTTTTTTTTCTTGTAAATGCACATTTGTGTTGCGCGACTCCAGCCAGAGCTATCTGGGCGTGACCCAAGCTAAAAATTTGCGAGCCTATATACCGTTAGGGTTGACAATCCCTAACCCGACCCAATAACCTGACCGAACCCGACCCGAAGTTATTGAGAGATACCCGAACCTGAACAAACCGAATTCAACTCGATTTGACCAAAATTTCATATTTCGTAATAATATTAAGTTTTACACTATTTTTGATTGTTTCTAAACATAACTCGAAATCGACCCGAAGTCTGACCGAACCTGACCTGTTGACCTATATATCGTAGCCATGATCAAGCCCGATATTATGGGCCCAAAACATTTTAAAAACACATCCATCATTTTCTTTCCTTGTGGGAGAATTTTTTTTGCTCTTAAATTCACACTATTGAAGATTACGTATAACAGTTCACTTGGAGGTGCCACCTTCTTATCACCATGTCATTTCCAATAGGGTTGAACATGGATAGGATATCCGATATATGAAAACTGTAAAATCTGATATCCATTATGCATTATCCAATTAAAAAAGTTTTAGATTTTTTTATATCGTTAATTTCGAATTAGATTTCCAAAGTTATATAATTATCTTTAATTTTGATTCTTTTGATATATTTTTTTTCAAAAAAGTTGTAAAACACCCAACCTCTTGGATATTTGTTATTTGATATCTGAAAGAAAATTGATATCCTATCTAATATCCAAAATTATCAAATCGGATATCCTAAATTATCGTATAAGAAGTAGATCGAATCTTCGGATAGTTTTTCTTAACCGTAATTTCCAATCACTGTGCCTTATAGTTATCCAAAATATTTTAAGCTCCTCTGCCGAAACTGATATTTAAAATCAAATAAATTCAAATAATGTTACATTTAGGGCATGTTCACTGCAGCTTAATTTCACTTCAGTTCAGCTCCAATCAATTCAGTTCAGTTTAGCTCCTAATTTCCTTCTCTTGTAAAATATTCATTTCATCTCAGTTTAGAAAATGTTAACAGACCCTTAGTTTACTTTAAGTATCATTATTTATTTTAGATCAAATTAAGAAAAATTTAGTTCAACTAGATTAGTTAGAATAAGTTTTAACTCTATCATTTTGAGTGTGGTCTTTTATCATCAAACACTTTCTAAGAAAACAATTATCAAAATTACATATTTGAAAAAACACATTAATATACAACCTACTGAGCCCTTGTAGCCTTGTTGTCCTGGTGTTGTGCAGTGTCCCCTTTGCACAGGATGGTTTCAAGAAGATCAGATGAAATGGTCCCGTATATCCATTGTTTTACGATCGCGTCAAGCCGTGTCCACAAACTTTCAGAGATATCAGTAGGTTTTGTGGTCTTTGAATCGATGTGATCGAGTACCCTAATGGAAATATGGAATGGTAAACAATTCCTCCCAATTTGAGAGTATGGAACTGATATTAGTGACGAGTACACTAATGGAATGCAGTTCTTGATATTAGTGACGGAAAGTGCAGGTTGAAACTCAATGGATGGAGGTGGAGTATCCTTCGTCATGATGTAGCAGACGATGTAGGTGATTAATCAAATATGAGCAATTTGCCTAAAAGTAATTGATAAAGTAAAGAAGAAATTGCAGCAAGAAATCAGACTTGGTGGTGGCAAATCGAAAAAATTGTGATTAAAGCACTTAGAAACATAGAAAAATATACCATGTCAGATTTCGGTTTTACAATCCTAGTCCTAATCACGTTAGGAAACCTAGTACGATAAGGATACAATATATACCTAAAACCTATTCTAATCTGCGACAAATATTATCATAAATATAATATCTATCACTTAGGGAGACATTAATATTCAACTTTAATAAGAACACATGTGATTTTTTTTTTCATTGTGAATTAGCGTCTATACAAGATCTTATCTTAGATAAATATACTTAACATATCCTAACTAGAATCAAACTCACCCTAAAATAATTATATTAAGGTCAACTTTTGTTGAATTCGGATGAAATAAATCAGTTCAGATCTGATTAACTGAGATTTCAGATAATTTCAACTAAGTTAAATCAGGTATGTCGAACTTTATTACTTGTACTTAGGGGTGGGACTTCGGTCTGGCGGTTCGGTTTGACCTCGGTTTGAGTCGGTTTCGGTTTGGAGCGGTTCGGATTGAAACGGTTTAGTTTAGCTGGCGGGTCGGTTTGGTTCGGTTTGGGTTAGTCACAGCTCGGTTTAGTTTCGGTTTATTTCTTTGCGGTTTAAATTCGGTTTGGGTCATAAGCGGGTCGGTTTATAAACGATTCGGATTATGTCGGTTCGGTTTGATACGGGTCGGTTTAGGGGGCGGGTTTACCCGGGTCAATGTCAGTTCGGTTTACAAACGGTTTGGATCAAGCCGGTTTGGTTTGAAATTGGTCGGTTTAGGGGCGGGTTTACCCAGGTCAATATCGGTTCGGTTTATAAACGGTGCGAATCATGTCGGCTCAGTTTGAAATGGGCCGGTTTAGTGGAGGGTTTACACAGTTCAATTGGTTCGGTTTATGAACGGTTTGGATCATGTCGGTTCGGTTTATAAGCGGTTTGGGTCATGAATTCATGATTGTTTTAAAGATCGCGTCATGACCATGATTTAATGAGTTGATACTTATAATACGATAAATCGATAATTAAGAATGTACAAGTATTCAATTAGATTGATCAACAAGTGTTTTAAACTTTTAAGTTTTAATAATCAGATATGTAAATATGTTTATCGATTGTAGTACATACCAATAATTCAATGAGGCAATGATACTTATGATAGTATGATAATGATACCAACCGTACATTCGTACGATATGATATACATAATAATTAATCTATAATTGCATATACATTAACAATATCGTATTGAATCAATTTCCATTTCCAAACATTGCATTTCTTATAAATTATAACTTACACGAGATTAAATGGATTCGTTACTTAGTTTGTTACTTTATTTAGATTACTAACTCAAACAACTTAATAAGTTAAATGGACGAAATCAGGAAATCACTAATTAAAGTGGTGATGAAATCATTATGCAATACTAATGTACAAATAGTCAAATATACAACGGTTAGATTGAATGCCCATGAAAAACAATGGTTAGATTTTCATTACTTTATTAGTTATTAGTATTATTACTTATTAAGTTATTATTAATTTATTATATATACTGATATACAGTCACAGACTCACAAATATATATAATATACATATAGAGATGTCAGATATTGATGTGCATTAACTCATTAAGTCATTAACTATGTCGTATTGAATCAATTTCAATTTTGAAACATTTGCGTTTCTTACAATTTATAACTTATAAGTAATAAACTAATAATAATAATAATAGTAATAATAATAATAATAATAATAATAATAATAATAAATAATAATAATAGTAATAATAATAATAATTATAATAATATTATAATAATAGTAGTAGTAAACTAGTAATAATAATAATATTAACAAATAATTATACTAACAATAATAATAATAATAATAATAATAATAATCCCTCAAAATAATAATAATAATAAATAATTAAAAAAACGGTCAAAAGACCTAGAAAAGCACAAAGAAAAATCTAGACCGTTAGATCTAGATGAAATGATGAATATTCTGGAATCTACAAAAAAAAATAAAAAAAAATGAACGGTTAGATGTTGAGATTGAATATGGACGGTTAGATCAACTGAACAAGTAAAACCTAAACCTAGAATCTCAAGCCCACTCTATCAGCCATTCAGCCGTTTTACTCACTCTTCTATTCTCAATCTGTCTTAGTTTCTCTCTCTAACTTCTCAGTTTCTCACTCTTTCGTTCTGAAATTCTCAAGAATCTTAAGCTCAACTTCTCAACTTTTAAAAATCCTAATTAGGGTTTTTGTTTTCGTTTCATTTGTGTTTTGGATCTACATTTCTGATTTCTCGCTTTACATTCTCATTTTTTTGTTTTTTCAAATCTTCCTCTCCTTCAATTTGAAGGCTTCAAGGCCTCAAAAGTTCAAAACTCAAGGTAATTTTTTGTTAATTTTTGTTGTTTTCGTTTGATTTTTTTCGTTTTTGTTTCGGTTTGTTTATTTAGGGTTTTTGTTTTCGTTTCATTTTTGTTTTGGATCTAAGTTCTGATTTCTGACTTTTTCATTCTCGTTTTTTTTTCAAATCTTCCTCTCCTTCAAGCCGTCAAACCTCAAGGTAATTTTTTGTTAATTTTTGTTGTTTTCGTTTTGATTTTTTTCGTTTTCGTTTCGGTTTTTTACTTTTTTTATTTAGGGTTTTTGTTTTCGTTTCATTTTTGTTTTGGATCTAAAGTTCTGATTTCTGACTTTTGCATTCTCGGTTTTTTTTTTTTTTTTTTCAATTCTTCCTCTCCTTCAAGCCGTCAAACCTCAAGGTAATTTTTTTGTTAATTTTTTCGATTTTTTCGTTTTCGTTTGTTTTTTTTTTATTTCAAGTTTTGATAATATACATTCTTGATTTTTTCTTGATCTCCAGTTCAGGCAGTTCTCCATCTTCAAATCTCCTTCAAGCCGTCAAAGGTAATTACTTTTTCCTTTTCGTTTTTTTTAATACAGTTTTTCTGTTTTTGTATTTGATTATTGTTGTTGTTCTTGCTTGAATATAGTCGAAACATAGTCGAACTTCAAATACATTTATCTACTTGCAACTTTTTATGTTTTCACCCTTACACTACCTTCTGCTGTTGCTGTCTACCTTTTTATGATATGAGGATTTTTTTATTTTGTTTTTAGAGGGATGTAATTTTTGTTCAAATTTAGTTTTTGTGTATATGATCATGATGTTGAGTGTTCATGATATTTAGTTACCATTACGTACTTAAAATGTATACTTGTATGATTGGCTTAAAGTTGGCTTAAAGTTAGTACTTAAAATGTACACATATGTCAGTCACATGAGACAATGCATGCTTAATTGCTCACTATTAGTAGAATCTGTCACTTAATTTGGTACTTATAAATGCTGTTTTTTTTTTTTTGTTTCAGTCATGTCTTGCGAGTATGATGAATTTGACTATGAGAGGCAATCAAATTTTGATACTGTTAGCTCTCAAGCTGCCTCTGTCCCACTCTCGGTTGATGATGTTAGTAATACCGACACTATCAATCCTTTTGTTAATAAACGTCAAAGAACCGCAGGTATATGGAAGCATTACACTTTTTTTGTAAAGACGATAGGTAATGAAAAGGTAGATTATGCTCGTTGTAATTTGTGTGGCAAAGAATATAAAGCACCTGGTAAAGCGGGTACTTCAACTTGTAGAGCTCATATTAATGCATGTTTGGAAAAGCATGGTCTCCAGTCCAGTAACGAATCACAATTTGATCAAAAAACTTATTTACAAAAGTTTGCTAAAGCTATTATCTGCCATGCATATCCTTTAAATATTGTAGAGCATGAATATCTTAGGGAACTTCATGCATATTTGAATCCTAAGGTGCAGCATGTTTGTAGAAAAACTATGTTAAAGTATGTTATTGCTGAGCATGATAAATATAAATCCTTGTTGCATGAGTCTTTGGCTAATGTTTCTGGTAGAGTTAGCTTTACATGTGACTTGTGGACTGCATGTATTAACCGAGGCTATCTCACTTTGACTACTCATTATGTTGATAACAGTTGGTCTCTTAGGTCTAAAATTTTAAATTTTAGATAATGTGGCCCTCCCCATACTGGTGTTGAGGTTGGAAAGTTTGTGTTTAAACTGATTAAAGAGTGGAACCTTCAAGGTAAGGCTTTTTCAATGACCGTTGATAATGCTCGTTCTATGGATGTTATGGTTGAATATTTGAAAAAAGAATTAATGCAATGCTCTCCTCTTCCTTGTAATGGGAAATTCTTTCATGTTCGATGTTCAACTCATGTTTTAAATCTTATTGTTCAAAGAGGTTTAAAAGAAGTTCATGAAAGTGTTGAAAAATTGCGTGAGGTTGTTAAATATATTGATGCTTCTGATTCTAGATTAACTCAATTTGAGAATGCTTTGTCTGAGTTAGACTCTGCTTTTAATGGTAAGTTATGTCTCGATGTTGTGACTCGTTGGAATGCCACTTATACAATGCTCCGAAAAGCCTTAGAAGCTAAGGATGCCTTGATTATATATACTAGTAGGTTTTTGGGTATTTCTTATAGACTTGATGCTGATGAATGGGATACCATTCAAAAAATTTGTGATTTCCTTCAGCCATTTAATGATATAACTGTGTTATTTTCTGGTACCGAATATCCCACTTCTAATTTGTATTTTGTTAGTGTTTTAAAAATTGAGTACGCTATTACTCAAGCCTTTAAAGACCCTAAACTTGCACCCATGGCAGCAGTTATGCTTGAGAAGTTTGAGAGTTATTGGGAGGATTATAGTTTGATACTTTCAGTTGCTATTGCTCTTGATCCTCGTTATAAGTTGTTTCGAGTGAGACATATGTTGAACTCGTTGTATAATGATGAGGCATGCGACGAAAAGATTATGATGATTAAGGAAGCTTTTTATGACCTTTAT